TCGTTGGGGGCTGTGATTCTTGTGGGGTGTTGTTGTGTGCGGTACTGAACCTGCTGTATAAAAGGCTCTCTGTGCCCTTTGGGCTCCTCTTGTTTGATCCGATCCGAAGGCTCAGTTTAAATGCGACAGCTCCTTTCAGCTCTGCCACCGAAACGGGTGGAATTTTCTCCTCCCGAAAGGTGGCGATTTTCTGCGTGTTTTGAGAATTGATGGGTGCTTCAAGTTGAGCTCCCCTTCTTTTGCCAGTTCGTATTTTCCCCGGCTCAAAGCTTACGCCACCTTTTTCACAATGGATCAGATTCACTTCAGTGAGTTGTCAATGGAAACATCTTTGTATGTTCTGCTTGTCTGTGCATTTACTATTATCCATCTTGTTTGAAGTACTTGACTAAAATTAGTGCCAATTTAATATTTAGGATGCTTTTAGACTACCCAATATTGATAGGAAGGGATCCTTGCTTTCCTGTTGTAGTGCAAGAGAGTTGGTACTGGTCAAGTTGCAGAACTCATGTCTGCTTGCACTGCGGTGCAGAATGGATTCTGTCTCGGTATCATTTATCTCTCTTCCCCTCTCTTCTTTTTAAAATAAATTCTGCTTCATTGACACGAGGAAAAAAAGAATAAAACAGTTATTACCAAAGCTACTGTGTATTGATAAACAGAAGGCAAACACATTTGTAGGTAATTAATGAACAAGTAACCCAGAAGGCAGGAGAGCCCACTGTCCTTGAATGTGTGCAGTGCAGCACTCTCCTGCTTGAAGAGCACAGCGACAGAGGCGCAAACTGTACTGCTGTTAGGAGGGCTGTTCTGTGTTTCGTTTTCCCTTAGAGAGTTCTCGTTTTTTCCTCCTTGACCCGGTGTGTCAAAGTCAGGGCTGAGGGTGCTGTGTTGTGAAACAGCGTCTGAGGCAGTGTGTCTGGTTGATTCAGAAAGAGGTTTCTTGTGCTCTCATTATATGCAGAGCCATGCTTTTGGAAAGTGAGCGCCCACTCAGCAAACAGTGGGATAGTTTGTTGTTTTTTTACTGCATTTCCACATCAGTCAGCTTTCTAAACAAGCATATGTAAATAATTCGCAAGGCCAAAAGCCAAGTTACCAAAACTGACGCATTTGAGTCTGCTCTGTTTTGTGTATGGTGTTTTTTTAAGTTCTTATTTGAACATGGTGGAGATGTTGATTTGTGATGTAGAGGTTAAACAGTGTTTGCTAAAGGACAATTTGACCAGCTCAAAATCCAAAAGGTGTACAATAATATTCTTGAATTAAGCAACAGTCAGCATTCAAATGTAAAGGAAGTGATTACAACAGCTTGAAAATTAGTATGGCAGAACGTTTGAGACCTGAAAATGTATTGGTATTTTGTTTAGACTGTGATAAACACAATACTTTAGCTAATGGTGATAATAGAGAGACTCGTGGTACTAACAGAAGACACAAGAATAGCCAGTGGGCTTTCAACATTAGTACAGTAGGTGTGCTCATATTCAAATATAGTGACATTAACAAAGCACGTCCCTGCCACCAGTCCTCAACCCTCACACTTTAACACAGGAAAATAAAATGTTTCTTAGCTATTAATGAAGCTTTTTCCTTCTCACTAAGTTTCTGCTAATGAAGTTATTTAGGGCATCTTTAACTTCCACTGAAACAAAATTGATGTGAATATGGAGCATCAAAATGCATTTAGTTATTATTAGCACTTATTACACAGATGTTTTGCATATCATTACATATACTGCATTATTTTGCTAGAAACCTTTCTAAAAACATTCAATCCATCGAATCCATTATTGAGAAATGAATATTCTCTTTTCTAGAAAATAAGTCCTATACTTGTTGTATCTTGCTGTACAGTTTGCAAAAATGAAAATTCGGGGTAGTTTTGGACAGGTGGAGGGACTGGTGCAGACACCGGCCTCTCAGCCACTTTGAATCTTTCTGTGACTGTCAGATATCAAATGAGCTGCACATTCTGGAGGTACAGAGGCTTAGAAGTGCAAACCAGAAGCAAATAAAACATATGCGCTGCAAATATGAAAGATGTGGCACAAACTACAAATCATGGACTTGTTGATGTCCCCTTTTTTAAGATTACACTTCCTGATTTTTTTTATTTGCTCTTCCACACATTTTAGAATGCATTTTCTGCATTTTGTGATTTGCACGTCCACATTTTCAGATTTCCCGTTTGCTCTTTTTAGTTCGTACAATCTTTTGGATCTGCATGTCCGTGTTTATCAGTTTTCTCCGCCCCTTTTCCATTGGGGCCATAGCTTTTTGTATTTGTGGCACATATGTCCTTGCCTTTTGAGCTTCTGGGCCACCGTAGTTCTGGGTTGTTTTTCGTGGGGCTGGTTTTCAGAAACATACATTCAGCCATTTTTTAAATATATAGTACCTTAGGTTTGCATATTTGTCATGGAGGTCCTGCATGGACACTTTCCAATCAAATATCAGTTACTTATTATTCTCTGATAACTGGTTAAAGTGGTTAAATCTGGTTAAAGCAACAGAATCATAATTAACGTATGATTCTCTAAGTTTACTTCAGGGCACGAGAAAAGCCATAATAGTTACTTAGGACTGTGTCAGCACAATCCTATGGTAATCTTCCAAACACAAACATTCACCCCTGCTTTAACAACAAGAATATGATCCAAAATACCATATACAGTAGCTGGCGTTTGCGAATGGCACTGCTTGTGGTGGTATAATATTATTGTAGCATTTTTGAAAAATAATACTGCCAGTGGAGAGAATGTGTGTAGAGTTCTGAGGGGACCGGAGATAAGTGTTTACCAACCAACCTTTGTATTTCTATTTAGATGTCTATTTGTTCATGACGTGCCCACTTGAAACAAATGAATAGCGCAGGACTCAAGCCTTGGTAATTGTACACGTGTAAAATTAGCAAGGTCTGAAAATAAAACTCATTCTGTGGTATGTCTCAATTCCTTCAAGCTGTGGTCAGAAATACCATGTTTTTTGTGCAGGGAATTCATCTGGAACAGAATTCGATTTCGTCCGTCCGTTGCTTTTTTATGCTTCTGTCTGACAGAGCTGTGACTTTCAGCTTCAGGGAAATATTTCTTTTTCCAGTCGTTCATCTTCAAGCATGCTTTTTATCCACACATTCCCATAATTGTACTCCAGCGCTTCAAAAGACGTTGTTTCTTTATGTTTTCCTCATGTTTTAATATACATTTTTAATAACGATGAGGAGTCAAGCACAAATGGTCTGACACTTTGGCCTTGGTTAAGGTTAGGAACTGTGTTATACAGTAGGAGCCTTTCAAAAAGTCTCTCATTGCACACAAATTCATCTTCCATATGACCTAAAAACCTGCTTTTCCGAAGTGTCTTCCAGATGTGTTCTCAATCCATCACTGGGTGAGATCTTCGGCTCAATAAGCTATTGTCAACCAAAACAGTTAGGTGGATGAATGGCACCCTACCATTATAATGTCTTATGTTCTTGTGAACATGAGGCTGATTGTCTGAAAGCTTGTGTTGGAGCATGATTGTGCAGTCCTCATCCTGTGAAAGCATGGTTGAGAAAGGATCATTTTAAATTAATGGAGGAAAAAGTTTAGTTTTTTTTAAACTCTCTGCTGTGGGTGTAGGGTTTATATCTGTACCAAGAGGCCACCCTATTTCAAATATAAAATTTCTGCCTCATAGATAAGCCTATTGAACTCTTCAGCTGTAATAGTTTTTAATTTAAACTGTATTATACGGTGTCTATCATCATTCAGGGAAACTGTAACTACTTGTGTGGTTGGAAAAAAAATGCTTGAATCTGCAGTGCTGATTAAAAAGTGTCACATACTACAATGCCAAGAGGTGGTAATTTCACACTCTTTATGCTAATGACACAGCGTAAAGTGGTGCAGAAGCTGATGGGCCATTATCATAACTGCTTTCAAGGAAAGATTTTTTAATTTCATATACAGTATATGCGTAACAGTGATGGCTGTTCCTGTTATGCATAACCACAGTATGGTTGACGGTACATTTCTCAGACTTAACTGCCTGTTTATTGGACCTTTTGAAAGTCAAGTGGGCGTCAGTGTATTTCTTCCTGAAGTACTAACTGTTTGTAGCCAACCGCAAAATAAGGAGACTCAAGACTGCATGAGCACTGTGGCTCTTTCTTCTTACAGCTTTCCACATCTCTGACACAGGGATTTCTTTAGCTGTTGTCAGGGCTATAGTCTGTGCTGCCAAGTGTTCTGCTTCTGTCTCTTAATCATTATAATTTAGCACTGTTAAAATAAAGCTTTGAGCTAGAATCCTGACAAGCTGCTGTGTCCAACATATCTTTCTCCTCGGCTGGTGTCCTTTAATTAAAAGTGATATAACTTTCAGTACAAGACCCTGAACAAGTGTAATGCTGCCAGATTACTCTGGATATCTCATTTCTTATTAGTGACATGCTCGGCTTTCTCTCTGAGCAAGTAGAAATCAATAAAATATGGGTTATACTCTGCGGAGGTTAATTATATTAAGATAATGTTCTTTGAGGTAAACAGCAAATTGTGTATTGGTCCATAGCTGAATAATAGGCAGTTCTAAAGCTAGAGTCTTGGGCTTTTACAAATTAGATCTTGTCTGAAAAAAATGGGAGGGCATTTCTGACATTCCAGCTGAAGGATGTAACGGAGAAGGCTGTGGTATTGTCCTGCCGTTGAATGGTTCCTTTATGAGAATATTTAAAAGGGCATTGTAGCATGGACTAGTAGTAGTCACTATGGTAACCTCACAGAAGCTTGTAGATATGGGGATAATTGAGTGTAGTTTCTTTGCTCACTTTTCTCCTTCCTGCCGGATTAAGTCCCTAAAACTTTGCTTAGCGCACTGTTCACAAGCGCTCTGAGAACCGGACCTGGGCGAGCCGTTTTTTTTTTCTCGGGGAATTTTTGTCCTTGGGGATAATTGGGCAAAGATGTTTTCAAGGAGGAGTGTTTCAGTCATCGATTCATTTGTGTTTCTTGCAGAAGCTCCTCTGCCAAACCATGTGGCAGCGCCGGAGACCAACAGCCCAGAGAATATGCAATGCTTAACGGTGAGTAACATTTCTCTTCGCATTTAACAGCCACATCTAAGCTGGGCTCGACAGCTGACTTTATGTTGAAGTGAATTATTTAAAATAGAGAGAACCTCTCTTCACATGTGGCGCTGTATGATATGCTATATTGTTTTCATGTAGCCTAAAAGGAATGTTGTCAGCCTTTTATTTAACTAATGGCTCTGCACTTGGTCAATGGTAAAAATCTCCCATTTAAATCTACTTGTGAGGCTCTCCATTATCTTACTATCTTTTGCTTTGAAAGCCTCCAATGTTTTTTCAAAACATATACATATTTTAAATTCACATCTGTGTACATACTAAGCTTTGCAACAGTTTTTCTTATAATGTTTTATTCATTAAAAATACTCTTCTGTTCTTAATAAGAGGAAGCAATATTGTTTAAATCTACCGTGGGGGAGTTAAAATGGTGATTGACCGATTGATCAGGAAAGAAACAGATTTTAGGGACAGGATAGCACTGTAAACCAAAAGGAATAAGGCAAAATAATTTCCTGTAACAGTATATGATAATTAAAGAAATTCAATATCGGGAAAGTGATTCAACATACTTTAACATGATTTGGCAAGCACAAAACTGGGAGAGACTTTCATTCCTTTCCTTCTATAAATCTGTCTTTATGTGCAGGGAACATTATTCAATAAAATGGCTTTTGCAATATGACAAAGATAAAGTTCACATCTTACAGAAAAGTCTGTTTCTTCTCTGCTTCTGAAATCAAAGAAGTCATATAATATGTGTTATAGGAAGATGTGACCTGAAAATAATCCTAAGAATATTTAAACCACATATTCTAGAGTTTTAGGTCATCTACAAATAACCTAGTTAAATCACAGCTGACATTTGATTACAAATATGAGCAAGGGAATGTGTTTTCCACACATTGTTTTTGAAACATGTAATTTACTCCACTAACCTCAAGGTGATGTTATAATCTCGTATTACTGCATTTTGAGTAACCATCAAATATCTATTTCATCGTGTTAGTTCAATTTTTTAAACCAGTCTTCCCATTCTTGAAAAGCATGTAATAATCAGATCAAACACTGTGGATAACTACAGACATCTACCTGTAATTCCCATATGCAGTTAATATACAGTTGTAAATGAATGGATTTTGTGTACATATTTCTTCCAAATACTGTAGCATCTGAGGAGATTGACCTTTTAGCTTATTAATGCAGCTGGAGAAACCTTTTGTTGTAAAAATAAGTACATTTATACTTTGTACTCCTTTCCATTGCACATCCTCAAGTACAATATTAATCAAACTACTCATTTGGAGGACTCATACCCTTCAAATACCTCTTCTGTTTAATACACTGGGTATTATAGTCAAACAGGAAGATAAGCACCCCCAGCTTTCTTTACGGGTCAGCTGTAGTCATAGTGCCGCACGTGGGAAGTCTGTCCACATTGGAAAACTGGGCTTAGGCTTGCTTAAACCTGCACTGGAGAGACGGTTACACAGCAGAGCCCCAGCTAGCTGAGATGAGATGTCTGATGCACGCTGTCGTAGAAAGGAATGAATTCTCATTTAAGCAGGAAGTGCACGTGTGTGTGTGACAGCAGGGTTTAAAGTTTCAAAGTCTTGCCGTCTGTCTGCTCTCATCCAGAGCTGTGCACAGAGCTATGTGAGGCAAGCCTGCAGACTGCAGACCTTGTAGTGTGAGGTGAAAAGATCATCTCATCCTGTGCACACTGCTGGGTGTGTTACCTTCATATTATCTTCATCACTCTAAAGTGTTTAAAGAACTTGTTTCCCCATATTTAATTCCTTGCTTTAGAAAAATAAGCCATGTGGTTTGTGATTTAAGCCATACAGTATACCAGACCTGATCTGCTCCAGAGCAGGGACTGCCAGCACCTTAGAATAGTAATTTACTGGGAACTTTTGAGTGATTCAGTAAAAGTGCTCAGTCTGAGTTCAGGCTGAGCACAAGTGTCACTTTCCAAATATGATTGGGATTCTCCCAGCAGCAGTTAGCAGAGCACTGCCAGAGGTAGAGCTGAACATACTGTATATCAGGCAGTTTTGTTAGCAGTCCAAAGAAACAGCAATTGTGTCCAGTTTCTGTTTGATTTAAACCCTGACATTCATGTATCATGGTGCACACATTTTGGCTCCAATTAAGATCTAGTTTTCAGTGAAGAGGTTTGCAAAATCACAGAAGGCATGTACGATTCATGTTTCATGTTTTTCAAAAGATTAAATTATTTAAGGCAATTCTCTTTTCTCCTTTTCTGCCACATTGGAGTGGCAAAGACACGTTATTCTTACACATTGTCAATGACGATGGTCTTCGTCATTGCGTGACCTTCCATCACAATGTGATCTTTCAGGCTCTTCTTTCATTCTAAAGCTTACATCTCCACTGCAGTGTGTGCCTGTGGTGCCACCTGGGCTGTGAGGTTGCTCACCCTGTGTATAATCTGTTTGACCTCTTTTTAGGTGGGTCTATATATTACTGGCTTCTTGGTTCTGAACTCTAGCTGGAATGGGGTCTTAAGTATATCAATTGAGTTCATATTCTGGGACAGGGATAATATTATGCTGTACACAGTATTTTTTTGTTGCATTTTGTTTGAAAAATCAATCCATTTAAATTTTGATCACAAAAACACACAGCAACATCTTTACCTGGTGCTTGCAGTGAGACACACGAGAGACCCTGCAGTCAGGGATCTCTCTCCTGTACAGTACTGTGTAACGTGGAGCGTGTGACCCTGATGAAGGGTGGGCATTTTAGCGTCGCTTAATCATTCTCTCCACGCAATGGAGTTCCAAATTGGGTGGCCTTGAGAAACCTATTTTAAAATGAGGCAATTCAGTTCATTTCCTGCTCATTAGGCAAATAAACCGACTTCATCATTAGGTCTTGTGTTCAACTGCCCTTGGTTTATGCAATCTTAGCCACACGGTCTCTAAAAGAGACGTTTCTCCAGAGAATTCTCCCATCAGAATGGGAGGAAGTGAAGTGTGTGCACGAAGGGGTGGGAGTCACAGCGCAGCGGTCCAGTAACAGGTTTCAGTGAATTCCCAGCTGGCTTGCTTTGCCACCAGTCTTCCTCTGAGGCTGCTCCCTGACAGCTTTTTCATCAGCTCTTTGCTGGAAGAGTCGAACCGGAACAGCAGTCTAGGACAGGGATGCTTGAGACCCCACAAGACCCAGCAGGTTTTATTGGTACTTTTCAATTGATTTAATTGATCTAAAAGAGTCAAATTATTTAATTTCTAATCCAAACACTCAGTTCAGTTAAGTAATTAAGAGAACTGAAGGAAATGAAGCTGAAACTGCAACATAAAGCAATAACATAAAGTTTACAAACGAGTAGAGGCCATTTAGCTAATTTAGCCTGTTTCATACTTTGTAGCTAATTGATCGAACAATCTCCTCCTGCCACTTATTCAGAGAAGTCAGGGTATTGGTTATGAAAACATGGCAGTAGCTTGTTCCATACTCCTGCAACTCTTTGAGTAAATAAGCATCACCTGTTTCCTCCTTTTCCCAGAAGGTACAGTGCCTTTATTCACTAATTACGACTGACCTTTTAGTGACATACCGAACAAGGATCAGATTTGAACTTATTTGGTCTAAGTTTAAAAAACTTAAAAAAACCTTATGAAAATCCTCCGGCACCTCCAGTAAGTATCGCAGATAGAGACGGTCTGTTCATAGCAAAAGATTCATGCTGTATTTGGTGTATTTAAACGACCGTGATAGCTGGAGTGCTTTCTGCAAATGAAGGAAGAGTGCTCGAGCACCGCGCTGTTTTGCAGACTCTTTCAGTAGTGTTTTCCCAAGACTGAAGTCTGCAGCCTCTTTACATCAGAGACAAAGATGGGAAATAGGAAAAGCAAACAGTGGCCCAAAATAGGAAACGGCACTGCTGTGTGTTTATGATTTATCTCTGCTTAATCCCGCTCAACTGTATTCTTGAAGACTGGATTTTCATACTTATTTGTTTTATAGCACAATGTTTCACTGGGCAAACAAACTGAAGCAATTATTCCTACCCTTCCTTCCTTTTGAGAAATTATCAGTGACTGGGGGCTGTGGAGATTGGGAGTGGAAGTGCAGCAAGCAATGGAAGTAATGATAGATATATTATTCTTGGAGTTCTTTTATCAGGGTTGAAAGCTGAAGTCTAGAGGTCAGGATATTAAGAGAAATACTGCCTCCTTTCCAGGTTTACCAGAAGCCAAGTCAGATTTCGGACCACATTTTTACTTTTGCATTTCGATTTCTTTAGTTCTATTAAATGTCCTGCTCAATATAAAAAAAAATATTTAAAAAAATGTAATCAATTACGAATGAATTAGGCCCAAATTTTTCCTCCATGTCTTTCTAATCAGAAAAGATTGTGATTAAGACTTCGTCGTACAGGTCAACTTTTATTTCCGGTTCTGTACTTTCAGTCGTAGGTTTTCTTTTGCCAGGAAGAGCTTTCCTTTTTCCTAGTATGTAGGACAAAGCCTTATGTAAAACCACACTTTAATGTGTCTTTAATGTAATGTCAGCCCACGTCTTTGATGCACTGTAGCTTCATCTGTTATGGGTTTTTTTACCAGAAATATATTCCCATAAGGGGATACCTAGAGCTCGAATGAGGCAATGGCTGATCTAGAAGCCTGGATTAGCTCCAGTGTATGAGCGTGGAAAATGGCAACTTTTGTAGCATTCCATATAGCACCGCGGTTCCTTGAGGTCACACGACTAACCACTGCCTTCAGATTCCAGTTCCATGATATTTTAATATAGCAGTACACTGTTATGAGGGGGAAACAGAAATACTCAATGTTTAGTTGGTTTGCTTCCTCTTGGTGTAGAGAAGACATTGTGACTTTTTTTTAAAAAAAAAGAAACCCGGGTATCCTGCTTTTCTGTTAGTACTATATGCAGTAGAGCTAGAGGAAACTGATTCACTGATTTGCCTCCAGGCTCGCAATCAAGAGGAGAAGAGATTTGTTTTT